TGTGATAGCAATATGATAGGGTTAAAAATAAAATAGCTTTTCTATAGGAATAAAATAGAAAGTAAAATAGGGATAAAATAGGGTTAAAATAGTGTTGATTTTCGTAAGGGTTGCCAAGCAAATTAATTTAAAGAACAGCTGTACTCTCCTATTCTAGTAAATTGCCCCTCGAATTCTCCAAGAAAGCTCCTAAATTATCCCCCATTTTGTACATATTATACAGGTATTATTTGATTATTTTAAATTATGTGAGATAATAGGGCATTTTGATTGGTCGCCAGGTTTAATCCGTGAACTGGACCAAAAAACTCTTTATTATCCTGCCAGCAACGTCGCCGGATTAATCGGAACCAAAAATTTCTACTGATGATGCATGCGCGGATTTCATTTTGTTCCGATCCGATCCGGTCCGATCCAATACTTATTTTCCTGAGTAGAAATTAGCCTTAAGACCCATCAGAAACCTATCATGCGACGCCTAAGGATTAGCTGGATTAACAGCCAAGATTCTCACACTCATCGAATTTATACAAAAACATTTGCTGTTTCACTTGAGGGATGTTGAATGATAAAATGAGCATGCTCGGTCACATTAAATCATTTAAAGTGCGCATGTTCAACCAGATCCTATACGTCCCACAACACCGCGGAAAAGCGTCTGCGCATGCTGCATCAACCTTACTAAAATTTGCCTTGCGAACGTGGTGTCAAGAATGTCAAGTGTTCCGAAGCTTGTCAAAAACTCAAAATGGGAGCGACTTCGATGTTTTGTCTTTTCTATGAAAATGCAAGCGGAATAATGAATGTGAAAACCTAAAAACTAGAAATAATTACAGTCTACATGTGCACGCAAGAAGCAGTATTTTGCAAGAAAATGAAGTAAAGTGGCTGTCAATAAATTTATTGTATAAAACGTTCTTTAACTGAATCATACAAAGATCTTTTTCGTAGGTTCATATGATGCACGTTTTTCTCAATACCTCAATTTCTGAGTAGCTTGTATAATTTTTGCGTTGATGATATTAAAGGTAATGATTTATTCTACAATTTAATCGTGTGCAAATGCTTATCTATTTGATACTTTTCTTAAATTTCTGTCTTAAGTTCGCTATTGGACAATTTTCAAGAAATGTTCACATGCCTCCGGGTCGAAAATGACAATTTTTTATTTAATTTATTAAATTATGTTCCTTTTTAGATTTTAAACGTTAGAAAACTTTTTATTAATGTCTAAACTATCCGTCTAGTGTATATTTTGTTTGTTTCACTTATCTTAAAAAGTTAAATAGCCATGCTTTTGTTTACAATTTGGCATTTAATTCCTCACCATTTTTTCTAGTACACGGGCACTTTCTCTCTCTATATTATACTTAACAAAAAAATCGGAAAAAGTTTCGTCCGGTAATCATAAAAAAATTCCTAGCAAACAACGGATGAAATGTTCTCGAGTGAATAATTCCAAACAGCGCAAGCAGAAAATTCTACCTTCCGCGGTCGTGTTTCGATCCCGCGACCTTCGAAATGTCAGCTCGACGCTATACCAACTGAGCTGCACGATCTGGTCCGATCGAGGACAGGAAATTGGAGTTTAACAACTTTAATTTGGCATTTTCACAAAAAAATATAACAAGAAAATATACCAAATAAGGCATGGAACGAACGAAACAAGTCCCATGCAAGGTGCCAACCATCTTATGAAACGACAAAATGATTAATATATATATATATATATATATATATATATATATATATATATATATATATATATATATATATATATATATATATATTGAAACGTCGCGTTACAGTTTAGTAGGACTGGAAACTAAATCGGATTTTGAACGATGTGAATTAAGCGGAAAACACCACGAGTTGTTGATGTGTTTTAAAATGAAATCAGGACAAATATAAGGACAAACTACGTTGGAAATATTACATTATTTATAGTTTAAAGTGACGGTGAATGGTTGCGGGACAATTGGGTTATTATTATTCAGGATTGTGCAACTTGTAAGTTTATATTGGAATGGAGTATCTCTTATACACACTGGTATTTGTTTATATTGATAACTATATTAGTATACGTAATATATGTAATTGATATCTCTTTAATAGGATTTGAATAAAGTTTAACTTTCATACGAATCGGCAAATATCCATACAAGAGAATAAACAAAAGGTTCCTAAACGCTACAGGTTGTTTCACCATTCAAATCAAGGAGAATTATATTATTTATTAAGATTTCAGTCTGTAGAGGAACATATGGTAACAATAGTCAAGCCTAAATATATATTCATCGTCATTTGTTATTGGTAATAATGAATGAAGCGAAAAAGGCAAGAACTATTGCTAAATCATCATTTACCCGTAGTGCTAAATCCATCCAACGGCTAATCGAACAAGGACGGCCCGAACCGGAAGTTGTCAAAGCAGGTGGCATATTTGAAACAGCCTATGAGAGAGTACTATCTAAGCATGAAGGATTTGCAATACTTGTAGAAGAAAAGGATTATGAACAGGAAGAAGAATGGATGGAAGATGTGTCAAAAGAATATGATGCTATTTGTATAATGATAAATGATTATAAAATAACCATGGCTCCGAAGAACAATATTACAACCGATAAAGTGGAAAATCCAGCCAGCTCTCAGGATGTCAATGTGGACCCAAACAACACAAATATACCATCTGGATCAGGCATTGATGAGACTGCAGAATCCGTACCACGAGGGGAAACGGAACCCACTGTTACATTGGAATTATCACCTGACAACCAAGCTGCCGCAACTAATTTTCCTTCTTATGCTGCACCCTCACCCAGTCCAACTTCCATGAAATTGAGAACAGAGAGAGCACCGCTTCCTAAATTTGATGGAAATGTTCGAAATTATCTGGACTTTCGTAGAGATTTCAAATTTTTGGTGGAAAAGCAATACACAACTCAGGAAGCCCTTTATGTTCTTCGTAGCTGCCTGGACAAAAGCAGTGCCGACCTGATAAAATGCAAGGAGGACTACGATGCTGCATGGGAAAAATTAGACCGAGAGTATGGCGACCCGAGAATTGTTTCTGATGTCCTGCTGTCTGACTTGGAGAAAGTAAAGCCAGTGGATGAATTTGACTATGCACACTTTGTTCAGTATCATGCTTTAATTGAGAAGATATTCAGCATGCTGACGAAACTGAATCGACTCGGAGATTTGGATAATACAACAACACTGAGTGCCATGGAGAAAAAATTATCAAGGAATGACCGTCTAAAGTGAGCAGATTACCAAGAAGAGAAGGGGGTAACTCCAAAAATTGAAAACTTTCTAATATGGATGGAGAAGGAAGTACGAAAGAGAAAGATTGCTGGAGCCGACATTCGTTCCCAGAGAACAATTTCTCGAAGTGCTGACAACAAAGGCTCAGTAAATACCATCACATTGAAAGGTGAGAAGGGTACCAGCACGGGTACCAGCATGGACAAACTCGATTCAAGGACTGAGAATCCAGGTGAAGTATTAGGTGAGGGCAACCAATCACCAACACAACCACCACCACCACCACAACCAACGTTTCAGCATTGTTGGTTATGCAAACAGCCCCACCAGTTGGACACATGCCAACGGTTTCTGAGTATGACCCCTACTGTTCGTCTCACAGAGGTGAGGAAAGCTCATGCATGTTACTTTTGTTTAAAAATTCATCGCAACCCATGTAGAAGAAAGAAAAAGTGCACGTTGTTAAGAGACGGTGAAGCATGCAGGTTCAGTCATCACCCCTTGCTCCATGGAGCGCCATTTGAGCGAATGTCCAATAACAATGTATCTGTCATTGCGGGAGGAGAAGGCCTGCTCCCAACCTTGGAAGTCAGTGCAATAAATTGTATATCCAAACAGAACACTAAGGCAAATATCCTGTTTGATGGAGGATCTCAATTAACTTTAATCAGAGAACAATTTGCCCAAAACCTAGGATTGCATGGTGAGAGCATTGGC